CCCGCCCAGTGGAAATTAGGATTGAATCCGCCTATACATGTTAATTGATAAGCCAAGATTAAATTGGCAGATAAACAGTTCTTTCAACTTCTGCTTTTCTCTTCAAGCACACGGTTATAAGTTATGATTCACTGACTGACAGTTTTGTTACATTTTCGGTGTTTCAGTGGCTAGAAATTGGTGTTTTATGTACCAACTGCTGTTTTCTGTTCCGGTAAGACTTTTAAGACTTTTCTACAGATGCAATTTTTTCGTTTGCTTCTTGTTACTGTTCAGTCTCTGTTTTAAAGAAAAGCGCTGTTTCAATACTTTTTAAAAGTAATATCACACAAATTCTAATTTGATTCAGAAAGTTCTCAAAATTTCACTTTATGAAGTATGTTTTTTATTTTTTTGCCTGCTACTTCTAAGCTATATAATATTAATTTAAATAATCAATTGCCATATTTGGAATGTATTTTTTAAGATTATATTGATTACTATAATTCGAGATGGACGGGGTTTCTTCGACAAGCACAGCGAAGGAGACGGGCACCGGTAGTAGCGATACGGCCTCAACCTCGTATCAGCAGTGTAATTTTTACTTGGTTTTTTTTTAAATTTATTTTTAGAGGATTTATCCCGGTTCAGTCAACTTTAATATAACCCTCCAAGTTTTTTTTTAAATTGTACAGTACAAGCTTTTAGAAAGAAGCTGAATTTTTAATTATAAAAGTCACACACAATTTTGCTGAGAGCGCATTTACTTGTTGTTGGCACCGCTACCATATTTCAGATCCTGAAATGAGTGCTGAACAGGAATTCTTTCTTTACGAATTGGAAACAACTGATTCCAGCAGTATAGGACTTGTCCTGAGGTATATCTCGTTTTTTATGTTGACCTTGGTGATAGTTGAACAAGCGAGGTAGAGTTTTTATACCATTTTTGTTCTTACCGCTTTAAACTGGAGAATGACAAATTAGTGTTTATTTGGTCGTTTATTGTCTACACTTATTTGAAATATACTTTTAAATAATAGGGCGATATACGACTGCGGAGATGTGCAAAAGTTTGCTCGAGCGCTAGAACACAGAATACAGCATTATGACAAGAATATACAGAAGATTTGTTCTTATCATTATCAGGACCATATTGAGTCAATGAAGAAGCTGTTAGATCTAAAGTCGAAATGCTTACAAATAAAAGTATGGTTTGCAGCGGACCTCATTTTGATTTTTTAATGTTACTGATGAATTTAAGGAAGATGTCGTAGAAGTAGATGATGAGATTCAGACATACAGCGCCAACTTGCAGAAGAAAAGTGCGGAAATTGTACGGTACAGGAAATTGCAGGGGAATGCAAATACGGCAATTGATCACATTAGTGTCTGCCTTCCTGTCTTAGAAAGTTATGCGTCTTTAAAAGAACTTATGGCCCAAAAGAAGTGGGATTTAATTTCTTACTTTTTTCAAGAACCCAGTAGCAAAATAAACATTATGTTCTAGTCACTTGTAGAGAAGTATAACCATTAATCGGTTTTTGTCAGACCTGAAGAGGTTGCTGCAATGCACGCGGAGGGGTTTTTAGCATTTAGTTTTTTAACAGATATTATCAAGCATTGAAAGTTCTGGAAGAATTGGAACACACTCACTTTGCCCACGCAGAAAAATATCGTTTTTTTCAATCATTACAAAAGTCTATGGAACCGATTCGTGGACAGATAAAGGAGAGAACTTTTTCTGAATTTACAGACTTTCTTGAAAATATCAGCAAAGTTTCAGGTGGGTTCAACTGCTAAAAAACTCATTTTTATCTCTTTTCTTCTCGGATGGCCTTTTGAATATTTCGAAGATTTCATAAAGATATTTCGTTTTTATGGGGGATTTTGAGGCTTGCTTTGGATATGAAATTCTTTAGTACTGTATGCACATTCTTTACTTTAAAGGTCGAATTGGTCAACATGCTTCAAAATGTACTGCTGAACAACATTCATTTGGCTTTTATGAAACGGATCGCAACAAAAGAATACAAGAAGAAGCGAAAAGAAACGTTGAAAGTGTTCAAATAGGTCAGATGCGTCTTTCCGAATTCTATATTGCTGTACTTTCCAGTGTTTTGATGAAAAAAAAATTAAAGGAATTTAGAGCTTTCATCTGACGGGTCTATCGTTAAAAAGAACGAGGGAGTTCCCGACTCAAAATCTGATCGCAATTCTAATTTACAGGAAGAAGATGAGTTGTTAAGTGCTCAGGACCTGATAGATTTTACTCCAGTTCATCGTTGCTGTCAGATATTTAATGTTCTTGTTGGTGATTTTGGTTTTTTTCCTAGACGTCTGTATTATACGGTAGTTAATTTTGTTTGCCCTTAGTAATATAAATTTAGGGTGCGAAGGAGACTTTTGAAGCGTATTATAGGAAGCAGAGACGGGAACAAATATTGATGGTTATTGTTCCACCAACAAAATATGTATGTTGTTGTTTTATTACCTTTTTTACATTACTTTAATTAGTTCTTTTAGTGAAATGCATGTAGTGGTGAGGAAGTGGAGAAGACTTCCGCACTTATGTTAAGTAGACACTTAAAAAGCTATTCTTTTTAGAAAGAATCAATTCGGTCGTACGTTCGTTATCTCGATGAGATCATTGGATTTTTTGTTATTGAAGATCATATCATGCAGACAGAACCGAGCTTGGTCACTGCAGCATATAAAGATCAGCTTTGGGAAACTACTCTTCAGCAAGTTATATCGACCATGAATGCTCATTTCGTATGATATATTTATAAAATTTTATTCTCGTTGGTTTAACTTCTACAAATTACTGAAATGAATGTTGCATAGGAAAATTAAAGAGTCGGGAGCTGTTGATGGATTTGTATGCTTTTGGTTTACCAAGTTGAAATTCATCTTAGGGCGGTTGTTTGGATGTAGAAATGATGTTGAAAATGAAGAAGGTTATTCTGTTGTTTGCTTTGACGATGAAAAGTTATGGGTTCGCTATTGGATCACTCTACACGTTACTTCAAAATTTTAGGTATGTTTGATTTATTATTCTTTTCAAGGGTTTTTAGTTTTAGTGATGTTCTCCATATTATTATTGATGGCGTTGGTGGTGTCATTCTGGACTTGATTTTATTTTATGCTTTTCGTATTTAGGGACCAGTACAATGAAATTTTAATGCGTGAGTATTGCGCTCAGTTTGAGAGAGAACTAGAAAACGATAATTATACACCCATAACTGTAGAAAATGAGCAGGAGTTCAAAGCAGTTATAAAACAGTTTCCGTTTTATAAGAGGGGTTTGGATCAGGTACCTTCTTTAAAGTTCGATTTCCAACCTGCTCATATGCCTTAAGTTCATTTGTTTATGGTAATTCTAGGAACCATTTCCTCGTGTTTTTCCTTTTTCAAGATTTGTCTCAAAAATACATGGTTTGGCAAAGAATTATTTGGTTGGATGCTTAAAATTTATGGAGAATTTACAGTTGTCGCATTCTGAGGTAACTACTACAGAAATTGTTTCTGGCGTTTTTTAACAATTGATTAACTTATCGTGTAGCAACAGAGGGAAAAGTCATTTTGGGTCTAGATAGGAGATACTGTCCGCCGCTACGCAAATGTACTTCTAGCACGTTGGTCTGGATCGCTCAAACGATTTGTTGCTAGTAAAAATAGGACTCTCATTCAGGTCCTTTCTCTATATACTTTTTGAATAAAATGTTCTCTAATTTTTTGGTTTTTATCGTTGAACTTTTGAATGTTTTTTGCGTGCAAAATTATAGTTAGTGCAAATTACCATTAATATTGGCTATATGGAGAAGTCGTGCGAGTCACTGGAAAATTTTATATGCAAAATCACCAATGGTGATGGCGAATCTGTTGCGTCATCTGGGCATCTAGTTACCTTAAAGGATCAAGTATTTCGGTTTGGCATTTTAGTTGTGAAATAAAACCTAATAAGTATCTCAGTCTGTAAAAGTAAACTATGATTTATTTACGTAGTTTATTTAAAAATCCTTTTTTAGGGATACACGTTCTGAGGTAGAGCAACAAGTGGATCGTGCCTTACAAGATAAAGTAGACGCATTTTTAGAATTAGGTGAAACTTCTTTAGTGAAATGGTCATATTAGTGTTTTACGCTTTTTTTATTGGCTTTTGACTACATTTTAAAATTTCATTATTAAAAAAATTTTAAGCTAATTATGATTGGGAACTGTCTAGTTCGAGCGGCCATGCCAGTGATTTTATCACTGATCTAATAAAATTTCTTGAAACCACCTTCGTTTCTTTCAACAACTTACCGCCACTTCTTGCACGTCATGTATGTATGCAGGTAAACAGTTTGTTGGTCTTTGCGTTTTTAATTGAGAGGTGAATTCTACTGAGTTATCTGTCTTTAGTTTTCGTCTACTACGCATTTAGGTTTCTCAATAGTTACTTAATGTTTATTGCTTATCGCTATCAAGCTTCGCGTGTTTTCGCCATAGATGATTCTTTACATTGAAACCTTTTCGGGCGTACACTGTTTATGATTTTCTGTATTACCTTTTCACAGCACCTTCTCTTACCAATCTGTAAGCGAGAAAAACTTCTTTTAGACTTGTAAATATGTGGCAAACAGTCTCTCTGAAATACTTCTTAGCCCAGATTCTAAAACAGTTAGTACGGGTGCTTTGGATCAGTTTGATCTGGACGTCATTCAGTGTGAATTATTTACGTCAAGATGTCCTGTTGCAGGGTTTGAAGTACGTTATTGAATACATTTTGAAGGTTAATTGTGGCCATAATTTTTGCTCTCTCGAGAAAATAATTCAAAAGTTGCTTTGAGTATAAAAACAGCAAATACATTTCCAGGATGCTACATTAACAATGACGTTTGCTAGCTTACGGCAGTTGCTGGATCTTGTCATGAAAGCTGACTGGCCAACTTATCTTGCAGACTATGGTAGGGAGACTAGTAAATATGCCAGAGTCCCAGCTTCGAGTGCTATAATCATTCTTGAGAAGTGAGCGCAATTATTTACCTTATGTGAATGAGGTTTTCTTCTAACGTTGTTCGTAAAGCATTTTAAAGATTACCATATTACCATATACTCTATAGAAAAATTATCTCTAACGTGATTTGTAAGCCTAGGTAATAAAGAAACCTTCCGAACTAGTAACATATGGTAGAAATTTGTGTAGCTGTAGATCGCAACTATTAGTACACGAACAGTATTTAAGAATTTGTTTTTAAAGCTGTTTTTTAAAGCTTTATTAGCATCCAAAAATGTTAGGTTTCAAAGCAGGTACTGCTCCGAACCGCTTTTTTCTTGACGTGTTGAAAACTTCATTCACCAGTTGCCATCCTTTCACAT